ATTGTTATTTTGTTATAGTTCATATTGTTATTTTGTTATAGTTCATAGTTATTTTGTTATATTTCATATTGTTATTTTGTTTAATTGGGTTTCCAACTGAATGAAAAAGCTTTACTGCTCTGCTGAATGATGACAGAGTGGTGACCTGTCCGATGGTACCTTTGGATCTCTGGAGTGTTCAGGACACAGAACCTGCAGCCGCTTACAGTACGTCTTACTCTGAGGGTTATACACATCACAGAACAACCGGGTCGCGCTGAAACACAGACACACACATGAGAGACAGACAGGTTTTATTCGGACAGTAATATACTGTTGAAAACACAGACAGACAGACAGGTGATCTTACCCCTCTATTCGTGTTGGGTACATGGAGCCAAACGATGTCTGACTCTCATACTGTTGAACACAGAGACACAGAGAGACAGACAGAGAGACAGACAGCTGTGATTAGCTTTCTATTGGCTGGTAAACCTGTCAATCCCCAGTGTGAACAGATACATTCTCTTTCATAAAACTACAGAAACAGTGTTGGTATTATGGGATGTCTGTGCTGGCTCTGACACCTTGGACCAAAACCACCACAGGAAGTGGCTGATTGGTTGTAATCTGGTGTCTCCTGTTAAACAGACACACTGACCTTAGCATAGCATCTCTCCATGTGTCTCAGAGCCACCTTCGGGTTGACGGGGTGACTGCAGGAAACACAGAAGACCTGCAGGTCTGTGTCCTCACTGTCACCTTCAGTCACCTGGTGAGAGAGAGAGAGACAGAGACAGACATTACATTTACATTACAGTCATTTAGCAGACGCTTTTATCCAAAGCGACTTACAAATCAGATTCTATCAAGTAGGCACAGCCACGGGAGCAATTTTGGGGTTAAGTGTCTTGCTCAAGGACACATCAACATGTGGAGCCGGAGCCAGGGATTGACCCGCCGATTCTCCGATTGAAGGTCGACCCTGCTCTCCACTTAGCCACAGTCGCCACCAGACAGACAGAGAGACAGACAGAGAGACAGAGAGACACAGAAAGAGAGATAGACAGATAGAGAGACAGACAGACAGAGCGAGATAGAGAAAGACAGAGAGAGACATGTCAGATAAGAATGATGAATACAACTGAAAGTTAACTGTCTGTCTTCCTGTCTCACCTCCTCGTGATGTTGGACCTGCTGCTGCTTGGCGTTGGTGATGATACCTTCGAGCTCGTGGAAACGTTTCTCCATCAGAGTGAGGCGGAGCCTCGCTGCCTGCTGCTCCTTCCTGATTCGCTCCAGCTGTCTCCGGCCCATTTCCTCTGCAACGCACGGACTCTGCTGCCACTGCTGGATCCTCTGAGGAAGGATCTCATAGATACGACTGACAGAGAGACAGGCAGACAGACAGGCAGGGAGACAGAGACACAGACATCAGTCTGTTTATAAGACAGCTCAGTGGAGACAGCTTCACTTTGATTGTGTTTCTAACTGGTCAATGTGTTGTTGTTGACCCGTTTGTGTCGTTGTTGTTGTTAACCCGTTTGTGTTGTTGTTAACCCGTTTGTGTTGTTGTTAACCCGTTTGTGTCGTTGTTGTTGTTAACCCGTTTGTGTCGTTGTTGTTGTTGACCCGTTTGTGTCGTTGTTGT